TCCTTCCTTCCTTCCTTCCTTCCTTCCTTCCTTCCTTCCTTCCTTCCTTCCTTCCTTCTCTCTCTCTTTCTCTCTCTCTTTCTCTCTCTCTCCCTCCCTCTCTCTCTCATTCTCTCTCTCTCTCTCTCTCTCTCTCTCTCTCTCTCTTTCTTTCCCTCCGCGTTGTTCTTTGCTTTGGATGAGCCCACCACCTTTGCTTTCCCTGGCACCTCCAGCGGGACGTGTGAGCCCTGCTCCTGCCAGACCGCAGCTCGGTGAGGTCAGAGCTGCTCTGACCTACGCACCGGCCCTCGACGGGAGGAAGGATGTTCCAGAGGTTAAAATGCTAACTTGAGGCTTTGGAGACATGGTTTTGTTTCCTGCTTTGCCACTGATTTCCTGTTACCTTAGTAGAGTTAGTCAGTCTCTTGAGCGTGAGTTCCTCATCTGTGAAATGACTCGCACTTCCCTATCTCAGAAGGACGCCGTGGAGAGGAGTACGTTGGTGATGGTGATGGTGAAGCACCAAGCCATGGTGCCACCGCGAGCCGTGTGTAGGGCTCCGTGCTACCCGCTGGAACTAAAACCTTGTTTATAGGCTGAGCTGCAGTCCTCCGGCAGATGGTTACACACGGACCCCTCGACTTGCATGGCGCTGTGGGAAGCGGCCCCAGGCTCCCTGGGTCGGCTCCCTAGTCCATCCAACTAGTCCACCCCAGGCTGAAATTTCTCACTTTTGGGAGGAGCAACCGGCCACCAGTTTCATCCAACGCAAATCCCAGAAGGGAATGGCACAGCTCTGTAAACAGCTCTAGTCTCCAGAGGAGCGGGACGCGGTGGCAGACGGTGGCGCTGCTTGGCGCGGCGCGTGGATGGACGCGGCAGCAGCCATGGACGTGCTGAAACAGTCACCCCCTTCACAATGCATGTCCTTCCTTAAAAAGGACGACTGCCCTGGTGTGACACGTCAATAATTTTTTAAGTCTTTTTTTGCTTTTTCTTTTTCTAAAGAGGAACTTTCAAACTGGGCCAGAACGAGGAAGAGGAGAACGCTCAGCTATTAAAGCGAGTGACCTGGCCCGTCGCTCGTCTCCCTCGGGTGGCTGTGGGGCAGGAGTGGGTCTCTGGCCTGCCCTGCCCCTTCCCTGCGGCCTCCGGCCTTGCCAGCCCTGCTGCTGGTCGGGAGCAGCGCGGTGCAGGTAGTGCACGTGCCGGCCGAGAGCCAGGCCTTTCACAGGTATCCACGTGCTCCGTCGTCCTTGCTGGGAATCCCGCTCCCGTTCCAAGTGTGAGGGGCGGGGCAAACACAGCCAGCAGGTTTTGCTCCAAATCCCTCATCATGCAAGCACAAGAAAGATACTGCTGATTAACACAGTGAGAGACACAAGGGAATACTGAGAGAGCAGAAGTATTCTCAGAAGACTGGACTCAAATTTGCCCTGGGGTTGTTGTCATGATAAAAAAAAAAAATGGTTATAAAGTGCTTATAATCTGCAAACATAACCTAAAAGAAAAGGCCTCTGATAAGAAGACCTCTAATCTTAGTCACTCTTAATCACTTTATTTCAGACTCAGCTAGTGCAGTTTTAACACTGCTGCACTGTGTATGCAAACTCCAGACCAAAAGGAGGTGATTTGAGAAAATATTCCAACCTCTTTGGTCATTTTTAAGTTATAAGCAATTTTTAAGTTATAAGACCCTTTCCAGCAAGGACAAGGTGCTTAGGGGAAGAGAATATAATGCGATTGCTTTTGATGGACCTGGCAAAGGAGGAAAAGAGGAGAGGTGTAGGGGATTAGAAACCACTATCAGTTTTTCCCTCACTTGCACAGCACTGTTGGATAGTGAAAGCTCCTTCTAACCATCAGCAGAAGTTTGAAGGCATCTTCCTTTTCCAAATCAGAGGTATCCTGTGAATGATATTTCAGCTGTATCCCGTTTCAGTGAAGCGTTGCTTGCTGAGGGCTGGATTTGGGCTTATCCTACGTGTCCCGTGAGGAATGGGAGCCAGAGGTGGCCGTGGGGTGGTGGTTTTGCCTGGAGCAGGGGCAGTGTGGGGCCGGGAGCGAGGCCTGGCCACCCAGGCGAGCCGAGGGGCAGGTAAGAGCTGCATGAAACACTGCAGCACCCTGGGCAGGTGTCCTCTGGTGTGCCAGTTTTGGCTGCTTCGGTGAGGGAAGGGGTTGTTTTTGTTTTGATCTGTTTTTCTAAGAAAACAAAGGGTGTTGACTTGATTTGTGTCATGTCAGTGGCTGGCTGCCTCAGTTCCATGGGGCTGGTGCTGCAGGACACAATAGGAGCCATAAAAAAGTCATAAAAGTGAAGGCCAATATTTTCTGGGGCTACAGAGAGGAGTGTTGTGTATCCCAGGGGGAAGCTGGGAACTTCTTTTTTTCAGGATATAAATCGTTCACTTGTTCACCTTTACTAGTTTGCCGACTGTTAACGCTTTAAAACTGTCAGTGGTTCAGGTCTTGGGCTGAGGTCATCTCTCTGGAGTAGACTATGGAAGTGTCTGCTTGCCAAATTTCTTATTAATGTTTTGAAGTCAGATGTTTCAAACAATACAGTACTGTACACAGGGGTTATACTGCAGGCCAAAAGTTCACGACAATTTACCAGATGGGTTATTTATTTGTTTATCGCTTGGCTGTATTCCAAGCCCCTGTGTGCACAGCATCAATTACGTGTTATTAATTTGCCTGCAAGGAGCCTTTGAAGTCACGATCACGGAGTAATGTTTTACTGCTTGGCTGTCCAAAATGCTGCAGGGGAGAAGCCTCTCGGAGCCCCCCGGCAGAGCTGTGGGAGGGAGGGTAGGTGGGAGGCCCGAGGCGCCTTGGTGCTCACGTCCTTCCTCGCCTTCTCCCCGCAGCTGTCACGACAGGTCACGCCGCCGTGCGAGAGCGAGCGACACTATGAGCACGCGGGACGCTGCTGCGGGAAGTGTGAGCCAGGTACGGGACATGGCGGGACGGAAAACTCCTCGGAAAACTCCTCGGAAGCGGCTACCCCTGCCACTCCATGCACCTTTCCTGCACGTACCCTAACAATCGGGTGCCTCATTTCAGGTGTTCGAATACCTGTTGTTTGTGCAGGAGTAGTCTAGTCATCCCAGCAAAAGCCATGCTGTTTTGTTGGGAGAGCATTTAATCCTGCTGGAGTCAGGAGGTAGCTTAATTTTCACGCACATAAGCAAGCTGGTTCCTACGCCGTAAGTCCCATGGGTATTTCAATAAGTTGGGGCTGGGCCAGGGAACTGAAAGGGTGGCACAGACATGATCATCCCCCAAGACTATAGCAGCGTTAGCTTGGCCTGTGTTTTGTCTCAGCTCCTTCAACAGCTGATGTGCAACTTGCAAACAACCTCCTTTCCCTTCTCATCTTCACAGGGAAATACATGTCTGCCAAGTGCACTGGTACTTCTGATAGCGTGTGCCAGCCCTGTGGCCCAAATGAGTACATGGATGTCTGGAATGAAGAAGACAAATGCTTGCTACATAAAATATGTGATCAAGGTGAGCTGAGGAACCTTTGGATCTGAACTCGGGAAGTGTCAGCATGGGCACGTGGATCTGGACATGATGCTTTGTTCAGGAACACGATAATGGAGGTTGGGCTTGCAGAAGAACCTAAAAGACACTGAGGTCCCCAGACACCACGGAGTTTCAGTTCTTCTGTGCTCCACTATAGTCTCCTTACTGCTCATTACCTTCACTTCGGCCATTGATCCCTGTGAGCTGTATTTTAAAGGTTGTCTCTTTTGCCCAGCTTATTATGCACTCACATCTCCTAGCATGGTAGCTTCAAACTTGCAGAAGCTCCTTTTATTTTCTGCAGGAGCTGCAAGGAAAAGTCTTGCTCAGGGGTTCAATCAGTGAGGTGTCCTGTGCTAATCAGGGGTCTCCAATGACACCGTTTCCTCCGGCCAGAATGGTTCTGCCTGTGGCATTCAAGAGAAACAAATAGGTGGAGCAGGTGGTTTATGAATTTGCGGCTTCATATCGGAGAGGTTTTCACTCCCAGGTGCTTTGTGTCCTAGGGAAGGCCCTGCAGGAGGTGCATCCGGGGAACAGCACGTTCCAGCGGCAGTGTGCCTGCACGGCGGGCTACCACTGGAGCGACGACTGCGACTGCTGCCAGCGAAACACCGTGTGTGCCCCGGGCTTCGGAGTCAAGCATCCTGGTAAGACAGCGGGGCCGGGACAGAGGGAGATGTCCACGTCAGGCCTGGAGGGGAGGTCAGCAGGGGAGCTTCGGGTTACATCTTAGGAAGAATTTCTACATGGGAAGAGTGGGGAGCATTGGAAGAGGCTGCCCGGGGAAGTGGTGGTCTCGCTGTCCCTGGCAGGGTTCGAGAAATGGGTAGATGAGGCACCAAGGGACATGGTGCAGCAGGAAGGGTGTTGAGGGACTCAGCGTTGGGCTCGATGACCTTGAAGGTCTTTTCCAACCCTAATGATTCTGTGATTCTGTGATGTGGGTCCTGATACTGAAGAGAGGGTATCTTAGGCTTTCTGTCCCCTGTGAACAGAAGATTAGAACAGAAGTCTGATTAGCATTGCTACTGCATGTAACTCCTCTGGACTACTTGCATTTTGAGGGCCACTTTCAGTAAGGGGCTTGAGCCTCTGTCATTCACATGGTATCTGGAACGAGGGGACACTGCAAGGCTTCGCATGGCCATAGCCAAAAGGGCTGCAGTGCATTCCTCATGTTTGCAGAGGTACTTGGCTCAGCAGTCACTTGGATGTGCATTTCTGCAGCACTCAGAGCTAAGTGGTCCACTGGGCATCCTTGCTGGGATCTCTGGAATCAGTTTCTACTCACTGACTATTCTTTGCCACGTTTTATAACACTATAAGTGAGTTAAAAATGATGAACACCTTTCACATAGTGGAAGTCTTTATTTTATATGACTTGTAACACAAGGATTTATTGCAGACATTTAATTTAGTTCTGGGCTTCATTGCAAGCAAAATGGAGGTGTTTTGTGGGTGGAAAATAGAGATGGTTAAATTCAGAGTTGTAATGAACACCGGGAAGATAAAGTGAGCTGTTCCAAGTACAAAGAACACCACAAAACAGCACTTAATGGTGCAACAGGAATGAAACGGGCCTGGAGCACAGTTTGGTGCTCACCAGGCTGGCAAATCCTGGCACAGAGCTTTGTTTGCTTCATGCCTTTGATAGTGCCACTTAGTCACCACTGGTGGAATAGCATCAACACAAGCAGTTAATGAAAGTGCAAGGATGTAACAGCTGTATATAATTTTCCAATAACTGAAAATGACTTCTGGTCATTTCCCATTTTGATCAGGTGGAGAAATATGCTAGTCTCAGAAATATGCTAGTCTTACCTCTTTTTCCTGATTACCTGTAGCTGACATTGCTGCCCTACTATAATTTTAGATCCTTCTCTCACCAGGGAAGCTTTGGGAAGGGCTGTGGGAGGATGGGGGAGCCCAATCAGCTCCGTGTTGCAGTCAGCTCACGAAAGCTCCGCTCTGCCATTCTTCTCCTTCCTTTGCCACACGCAGTGCAACAGGACAAGGATACGCTGTGTGCGCCCTGTCCCACGGGCTACTTCTCAAAGGTTGCTTCAGCCACCGAGGGGTGCAAGTCCTGGACCAAGTAAGTCCCTGTACCCTGTATAAGGATCGTGAGAGGTGCAAGGTGCGGGGAAGCTGGATCAAAAGCCACTTCCAGGGGGTGTTTCAGTGTGTCTGCGGGTGCACAGAACATCTCGGTTTGTGGCACATAAGAAAGGTATTCTCAGATTGGGGCTTGAATCCTGCTGTGGGGTGGCAAAGCAAGAGCCCCTCGCTTGAGTATGTAGCATCTCTGTCTTTCTTTTCTAGCTGTACAGCTCTGGGAATGGCAGAAACGGTCCCTGGGAGTGACAAGTCAGATGCAGTCTGCGCAGAACGGAAGATGCCCGAGCAGCCAGAAGATGGTATTTGTCCTCCTAGAGGTTACTCCCTACAAAGTACCTACGTGTTTACTCTGGATTTTGTGCACTCCATTCGCCACGCGGACAACTCTGGGGAGCAGCAGTAGCCCAAGGCAGAGCTCCTCAGCAAATTCAGCCTTTAAAGATGACTTTAAACCCAGCTGCTCTAGAGGCCATGCCCCGTATGCTAAGTAGTGCTTTATAGATCTTTATACATCTTTATACATCTCACTGGTATGAGAGCAGCAGTACGTGGTGAGCAGCATTACTGTAATATACCCATGATCTGCACCACATTTACTGCTCTCTCATCTTCCAGCCTGCTAATTTCCATACACACATTATCTAAGGAAAAGCTACCAGCTTCTCTCCATGTGTCTTTTATAGCAACAGACACAGCCTCAGCCAAATGCAGGTCTCTTCCTGCCCGTGGCCCTTTTCTCTCTCCATCACGGAAATGCTGCCATGGAGGCTGCTTGCCGAGCACACCACAGCTCTCCACAGTGTGAGACGAAAGCCAGACTCTGCTGCCTGCAGTGTATAGTGCCCCTGGGCTGCACATCCATCCCCTCCTGAGGCAGAGCAAGCAGAGCCCGTGGGCTGGCAGCTTGTGGGGGTCTTCTGGAGGAGCCTCGCTGCCTCACACCTCTCTAAGGCACCGAGGTTGTTTTTTACATTGATATCTCTGCAACATGGTGCTTTTAGTAAGGCTGCTCATCACGGAGCTTTACCAGTGCCCAAGCTGTTGTCCTTGTTATAGAAATCTAAAATCCAACAGGAAGAAAAAAGGCTCTGTGGAAAAAATATGGAAAAGCAGATAAAATAAACTAGGATTGTAGCACTGCTGAGTATAAGTTGCCTGTTGACAGTACTATCTTTTTTTTTTGCACCCTACAGGAACAAACAGGATCTTGTACGTGTTGATTGTCATCTTGTTTTTTGTGGCACTAATTGGCATTGTCGTCTTCATCATATACTACAAGAACAAGGGGAAAAAGCTCACAGGTACGTTACAGCTAATGGTATTTTTGAATGTGACAGCTACATGGCTCTGATTTCACGGGTAACCACCAAGTGGAGAAACTCAGATGCCCTGGCCTGTGCTGTCCGTATGTCTGTCTGCATGGATGTGGTTTTACTAGTGCAAAGCCAGGCTTCCCACTCCTGGTGGGAGTTCTGGTGTCCTCTAGCATCCAACATAACGAGGTGACCGTAGGTTTAGGAGGGCCAGTGTTGGGGCACAGCAAAGACTTGCAGGTCTTTCACCACCTCCTACATCCTTTTCCCTGCTTCCCCTCCTCCTCTGAAACCTGCATGGAGTTGGGTTAAAATACAGACCTCAAGACAGCAGCCTGATGTGTATTTGCAAATGGGATGGAGCCAGTGTTCTCAGCTGAAGCTCTGATGAGCTACTGCAGAAACACCACAAGGAATAGAAGAAACAGTGAAAACACAAAAATACATTCCAGGAGGAAGAGAAGAAAGAGAAAAATGGAAAAATTGAAAAATACTAGGGGAAAAAAACCCACAAAAATACTAGAATAACACACTAGATATCACTGGGGTTATATATACCTATTTATTCAATATATTTTGAACATGAGGAAAATACTCAGAACAGTAACTCAGTGCCATTTTAAACCCTGGGACTTCATAGTCAAGGGCATATTCTTATGGTTCTCTTTATTTTTTATTTTCTTCTTCTAAACATGGAAAGCTTTCCCTAATGTATTTTTTACCTCCTCTCCTTCCGCAAGCCCTAGGAATTTATGAAATGTTTTGGGAGCTGTGGAAGGGAAGAGAGCAGCGCTGTCTTGTAAAGTAAGCTCTGGCCTGCCTTTCAGAAGTGGGCTGCCTCTGCCACACTAAACATGGGTTGTGCTAAATCTGGAATTCCTGGGATGGGCTGGAGGAAATGGTGACTCTCCTTGCAAACCAAATACTTGGGATGCAGAGCAGGTTTCGGGGGAATGCTCTGTGCTGGACACTTCTCTTGCCCTGCTGCCCTGCCGTGAGTGTGTTTCATCACCTTTGGGTGGTGAATCCTGCTGAGTAGAGCCCCAGGGATCCGCGGGCTCGGGAAGAAGCCCTGCCTGCTCCCGAGCTGCTGGTAAATATGCAGACTTTACATAGAATCATAGAATCCTTAAGGTTGGAAGGGACCTCTAGAGACCACCTAGTCCAACCCCCCTGCATCAGAGGAACAGACTGGGAACTGGCAGCGGCTCCAAGCAGTGGGTCTATGTGCACACATACAAAACCAGCACAGGGTTATAATGAACACAGGCCCCAAGCCCTTCAGAATCTCCAGAAAGTGAATATATTTATAAAATGAGAAGAAGGTGTCTGATAAGCAGCAGTGTTTGCTGCAGGGCACAGCTGGTGCCCCGGCTCTCCCCTGGGAGATGCTCTGATTAGGTGAGGCTCCCAATGAAGCGCTTCCCGTGGAGGCAGGATCCTGCGCTCCAGCACTTCCCGCTCCTTGCTCTCTTCCCTGCAGGCTCCTCGCTGCTCTCCCAGGATGGGCTCTGGGCTTTTCATGTGACTCCTCTTGAAATAGACTCTCCGGCCCTAGCTGGGTCGGGAGCGGGCCAGTCATAGCGTGGTGACATATGACCAGGAAAGAAACCCCATTTGATGTGGAACACAGTTGAACTGTGATCTATTTTGGGAGCTTGGAAACATTTGTTCCACCAGAATATATCCTTATTCCAGTTACAGCGCATCCTCGGCTAGACAGCTGCTGGGACGTCTGAACAGCGCGTAAACACAGCCTGCATGGTTTATGTTTAATATGGTATTACGGATTGTGAATAACTATGTATGTGTTTAGGTCTGTGGCTACTTTTACTGCCTGCTATACATTATATGTACATAAAACAGCTATTGTTTTATCTTCCCTACAGCGGATCTACAGAACTGGGCCAACGAAGTGTGCAGCCAGATAAAGGGAACAACGGTAAAGTCCAGAGCGTTAAAAATTTCTGGTTTATGTTTTTTTCTTTATTATATTCCTGGCACTGCCTTGGCAGTAGCCTCCACATTAACTTTTGGCTGGAAAACAAGTTTTCTGTTTCTCAAAAAATAAACCCTCACAAGTTTGGCTTTTTTAGTCTGGTTCTGTGTGAATGTGAGGCTTATGAAATGTCCAATAGCCTCTCTAGCTTCTGAACCACCTCTCTGGTTTCAGCCAGTTTTAAGAGTCTCTGTGAAGCTTAAACATTTGTAAGAGGAGAAAGTTCGGCACTTTCTGATGGTGTTCAGATGCTGGCCATCTGAGACTGTACCTAGGAGAGAGCTGTTGTAAATCCAGAGACCTGGAAAAACTTCAGTGGGAGTTTGCACCTCTTTACATACCAGAGAAATCCAAACTGGGGGCAAAGCCAAAAACACCAGGCACACAAGGCATCCAGCACAGAGCCATTAGTTAAAGATAATATCCCTGACACCCACTAATTCCAGTGCCTGCAGAAATCTTTGTTGTCCATTCAAATATGGTAGAAAGCCACCAAGACCTTTAAAAAGGTTTTGCTCCAGAGCACTCCCACATCCCATAGCTGAAACACTGGGACGAAGACTGAGGCTCCTGTGCACTGCCTCTTTCCCACAAGGGACATGGACTTTGGTGTCCCACGTCCCAGATGCTTTCAGCACCAGGCCGGGCCAGGAGCTCTGTCTTAGTGGCTGCAACCCCAAATCCCACTACTACAAAGGAAACTTCTTAAGAGGGAAGTTCCTCTTTTGTCTCCCGAGTGTTTGTGCCACCTCCTGCACGAGCAGCAGCTCAGACCTCAGGGACGGAGGAGCGAGGAGCAGCAGCACTTAGTGGCCGGCAGCATTTACAGGCTCCCCTCCAGCCTGCAAGAGCTGAGCAGATGCTAAAAATGAAACGGAGGTAGCAATTCCCGTCATTGCAGACTGGCTTGCAGGTACCAAAGTGAACTCTTGAACTGCTGCCCCCAGTGTTTTCCAGCACTTTTGTGGAGCCACAACCAAACATGTAGCTTCACTTTGAACAGTACTGACAAACGGGCTTTTGTATTTGTTGTCCTAACTTACTCTGGGCTAAAGCAACCTTGCCTGTGTGAGCTTTTTGTTTTCTTTTTTCCCTAGCTTGTCGTGGGCCATCCAAAACACTCCAGTTTTTCTTCTGCATATAGCATTAGCAGCACTAAGGTTTCTGCTCTCAGTAAGTCCTTGGCAGGTCTATGGCCCTTCAGCCACAGCTAATTCAGGGTGCTCACAAGCCTCTAACAAATGAGAGCTCTGTGGTGTTTTATTGATGGTTCACAAGGAGCAGCAGAAAGCAGTGACTCTAATGGATTTATTGACTTTAAGGGCCTTTTTAAGAACTAACAATAGCCTCCTCTCAAAATTAAATGTTGTGGTCTCCCAGGCCAACACATTTTTATCAAGATACCCCTGTGGCCGGGGGGATACCAGCACCCCTGGTCACAGTTTTGCAACAGGATAGAATTACACTTCAGTCCTCAAACACAGCTGGTGCTGCTCAAGCTCAGCAGCTCCACATCAAGGAGTAGTTACCATCTGCCTGTTTCATCTTTGTTTAGAAAATAACCTTCTCCTGATTTATTTATTAAATACATTTTTCTTTCGGACTTCATTTAGGAGCCCCCCAGAGATGTGTTTGTAGACACAGGCGTAACCAACGCTGCTGCTCCCCACATTTCGGAAGGAATGTGCCTCCTGGCTCCTGATGCTTATTCTCCCCATGGAAACACGTGCTGCACTAGCACTCACCTTCTGTGCATGAACAGCAGCCCCAGGACAGCTCCGTGCGGGGTGGCTGGGAACCTCCAAGAGTTTTCTGTGGTATCCGAGACTGGTGATGACCATTTCCCACCAGTCCCCATGGAAGATGAGTACACAGATAAAGATCTCAACACGGCTGATTATTTATCTTTACTGAGTCAGCCTGACAGTAAAACTGTGTCAACGTTTTCAGAACCAGTGGAGATAGGGGAGAACGACAGCTTAAATCAGTGCTTTTCAGGGGTTGGGAGCACAGAGGACGTATCAGCGGCTCAAGGCCTCAACCCTTCCTCCAAAACAGACAGCCCACGTGCTGCTGTGGACAAATACCTTCAGAAATCCTGCGTGCAGGCCCCCAGCTGCCCAAAGGAAGCGGACACCAAGGACACAGATGGCCTCGCAGCGCACCAGTACGCCGAGAAGGTCTGCGTGAGGTGCGGCGTTTCATACAGGGGGTCTCCGAGGAAGAGGAGCCAACCCTACGGTGCAGCCGCCGACGGTGCCCCCAGCTCCCCAGAGACGGGCTCCCATGCACAGTGCACTTGTGGCTTGCATGTTCTCTCTGCTGGTCAGAGCACCCTAGCAAGCGACCGTGCTGTGGAAGACGCCTCGTCTGAAGGTACCGACGCCAAGTCCCAGCGCACAAGAAGCACTTCAGGGACGAGCAGCAGCACTTCAGACCTTCCACCTGCATCTGGTAAGCCCAGTAGGCTTGACCTACGTACAGTCATATAGGATTATTCTCTGTGCTAGGTCAGTATTACTCAGAGAGTCCGTTTTAGAGGAGTTAAGAATAAAATGATGCCTTGAAACGTATTGGAAAGATGAGGATGAAATAGCAGGGGCATTTGTTCTGCAGTGAATTCTGCAAACAGTATGAGCACCATGAGCAAACATCATCCTGTCACGATCCAACCAGCAATGCAAGATCCATCTTCTGGCTGGACCAGTGATCTCTGGTGACTGCAGAGGCCAGGCAACAGTTAGTGGAGTGTTTTCTTGGCAGCATTTGGTGTGTATGAGAGAGGAGTTGGGAGAGGGGACAGTGGTGTAAAGGCAGAGCTGAGAAGGGGGGCTCAGATGGATGTTCTTCCACTCGACGCGCTGCATGTGCTTTGTTGTCCTCATTACTAGGTACAAGTGCAGCTAGAATCATGCAGTGGTCACTGATGGTCTAGTTTGGCCATGGTTGGTCTAAGACATTGCGTCCAGTTATTGGTTTTCAGCACTTTCTCATTGCTTTCATTTGTTATTATAGCAGCATTCAACTAAAAGCAATTTCATACCTGCCTTGTTTCTCCACACACAAGTGCTCTATCCCCTTAACAGCTCTGAAGCACAGTTACGGGGCAAATATACTTAAATAGTCAAAATAAATAAATAAATAAAGACTGAAGCAAAACCAGCAGAAGGGAAGTTATGAGCACTTTCTGAATGAAACCCTCCTCCCGCAGACTTTTCTTCAGCATAGACCTCTTGTCGTGCGTTATTCGTCATTTTAGATTATAATCTCTGAAAGAGAGAGACTGTTTGAATTTGTATCTGTGCAGTGACGAGCAACACGGGACCTGAGTTTTGCTTGGGATACCTAAGTCTTACTGTAATGCCCACAGCAGTCATCGGCAGCTGCCCTTCCTTAAAGTTTGTCCCAGAGGTGGTTTCGTTGATTTGCCAAAGCCCCAAAGCGACACGGGCCTTTCCCTTCTGGACATACGTGTCAAGCAGGAATCTGGAAGTGCTGGAGTATTAATCTCTCTAAGAGCTGGTACCCTTTCTACTGCTTCAGTTTTCTGAAATCTTGAAACAGATTTACTGCCCGATAAGAATTAAACAGAGTGAAAAATAAACATAGTCTTTTATGGACGACGACCCTGGGGCCCTACTGAAAGTCGAGCCGTGTCTGGCGCTGGAGAGGTGCTGCCTTTCTTTTCAAATCCAGCACAGAGGGGAAGAGGATACACGCAGGGCAAACAGGAAGGTTTGGGGTTGAGTGACAAGCTGGAAGGTGGACAAGCTGCGACGCGCTCCGTAATTCTTCCCGTGGGACGCCGGTCTCACGGTGGTGCCTTGGGGTTGGTTCAGGCTGCAGTGCCACCTGGCGCGCTGCGGGCACATGTGCAGCGCCGCTAGGCCCGGCTCAGCCGGGCTGCTGAGGGAGCGGGAGCCCCCCACGGCCCCTCCAGGGCCCCCCAAGTGACTCTGTCCTAAGTGGGACTTGCTGGCGGGGTGTTTGGTGCTGCCGGGCCCAAGCTGGGCCTTAGCAAGCTGCTCCCTCCTGAGCGCGCCAGAGGGAAGGAGGAGAGGCACTGAGGAATGTCGTGATTTTTCTTTTAAATTCCTTAACTCAAAATGAGAGCAGAAACTGCAGACCCTGCTGCTGTTAAGACCCAATCCTACAATATCAAGGCAACCCTCTGGACAGGAACCACTTACAGGGGTTGTCATCAGAGAGGGGTCTAAGCCTTCAAGCAGCCTTTCAAATCCCTCCAAGCTCGGGAGCAGTCTCAACATGAAGACCTGGTTGGTGCCGCCCCGAGTCCTGAGTCCGACACTAACTTTAAGCATGAGCCCAGGAAGATTTGGGTGACTCGTGGATAGGGATGGTTTTACAGAGCCTTCCACCTCGGAATCCCAAAGCAGCTCCATACAGCAGCTCCGTTCAGCAGCTCTCACTGTTCAAATGCTATTAGAGGACTCCCACAAAATTAATCATCCTCTGTGCTGCTCCAGTCCTTAGTGAGTAATTGCCACAGAAATTAGTCTAGCTTTGTAATTGATACCAGCAGGAGCTCTGAAGAGATCAAAAGCTCCTTGCACTTGTCTTCTGAAGGTGCTCCGTGTATGTTGGGGTTGGAAGCACATCTCTGAGTGCTGCCCTGGCAGTTCTGGTGCCACTTTCCGTGCCTTTGTGTTTCCAGTGCTATCCTCTTTCAGCATGGTGTCCTCATCTGGCAATGCAGACTTACAGACCACATTCAATTGAGCACTCTAAATGTGTTAACCCCCTTTTTCCCTTCATCATCACGTAGACTTCTAAATTCCTGATCTCCTACAGAGCACTGGAGCGAGCGGTAAGCAATCTGTGTAAAGGCAAAGACAGGGTTATTCAGAACCCTGCTTGTGTGTAACAGAGCATCGTGTTGATAGCAACCAACTGCACTGAATAGAGGGGGAACAGCTGGCAAGACAAAAACCCTGCAGAGAACACACACCTCGTGCTAATCTGCTCTAAACAGATCTGCCGACGGAGTGGCTTAGCTAAAGTAAATACAGTTGCTTGAGGGGGCCTATCAGAGAGATGTGTAAGACCTACCAAGACTAAGTTATGAGCACAGCAGTACTTGCCAGTGCTGGAAGCCAGTCCTGGTGTGTAAGCATCATGGGGCAGGGCTGTGCTTAGCTGCAGTGGAAGTGCCAGTGTCTTCAGCGGGGAGGAAAGTGTGGAGAAAACGCGCAGAATTTCTGGATTGTTTAAGATAAATCCACAAGTAATGGGAAAGACAGTAGGAAAAACACTTCTAAGGAACAGTGTGCATGGCCAGGAGCATGGAGCTCAAGCTTTGGTTTCATTACATCTTGTCTGCTTTGGTTAGTTTCTTTGAACTTAGGGATAAGTTTGCTCTTCCCAGGCATTTTCCTTCCACTGTAATGGAAGTTTATAGCCCTCCCAGAGCCTGATCGTGCTGTCACTGAATTCAGTGACTCAGTCCTTCACTGGCAGAAGGATTGAACTGATGCTGCACGTTCTCTAGAGGCCAGCAGGCACCCTGAGAGGAGTGTGTGTGTTGTAACTCACTTAGGTCACCCACTACGACAGAGACTTTTATTCTTCCCTGCAGCCAACATATACCCAGATAAATCCATGAGGTGACTATTGGAATTTATGTAATTGGAGGATCAGGACAAGGGCAGATAATATTCTAAGCTCTGTGTTACTTGGACTCTGTGACAGTATGCCCTGACATTAATATTTCAAATCTTTCAATATTTATTCAATTAACCTGCTATCTATGTGCCATGATAGGGTCAATTGTTTACCAGGGTGGGTGGAGGGAAAGAATATGGTATCTGGGACTGTAAAAAAAAAAAAAGAAAACCCAAAAACAAAGAAACAAAACCCATATATGTATATGTAAAAATTGGAAACAATAACCATTTCTTAACCAACTAACTAATTTAGAGAGAGAACTTTTCTTAATATTCCAGGCAGATTCCCCACAGCCTCGGTCCTCGGGAGGCCACGGTGGAAATAATGAGAGCGCCCCATGGAAGGCATTGATTGTAATGGGTCAAAGTAATGGAACAAAAGTAAAGATACCGCCCTGGCTTAAATGCACTGTGCTCAACGTTCATCTCATGGGAGAAAAAATTAATCACTTGTACCTTCTTTCCTCCCCCTGCTCCCCCTTCCCCAGGAAATGTGACTGGAAACAGTAACTCCACATTCATTTCAAGCGGACAAGTAATGAACTTCAAGGGCGACATCATAGTGGTCTACGTTAGTCAGAACTCCCAGGAGGGGGCCCCGGCGGCCGGCGCGGCGCCGGAGAGCGTGGGCAGCCCCGTGCAGGAGGAGAACGCGAGCCGCTGCGAGACGTTCGCGGGCACGGCGCCGCACTACAAGGAGAAGTGTGCTGAGGGGCACGGCGCCTACGCTGCCGCCTCGCAGCCCGTGCAGGAGGAGGGCCGCCTGGGACACTGCTCCGAGAAGGTGCTCAACTGAGGCGGCGGCGGCGGCGCTCCGAGCGCGGCTCCCTGCGGCACGCTCGCTTGCTCGGCGGCTCTCGCCGCCTCCGGCGTCCCCGGGGAGGTCTCCCCGCTGGAAAGGAGCGCTCCGGCGCAGGTGCCGGGGATGCTCTTGCTGCTGGGCACAGACACGAGCGGGAAGCCGAGGGGAGGGAGCACTCGGGGCCTCTCTCCTTGGTGGCGGTGGTGGCCTTGCGGCCAAGGACAGCGTGGGCCCCAAGCCTTTGGGCTGGGGCTTTGCGAGGAGGACAGCATTAATCGCGGGGCGCGCGGGGCTCTTCCTGCAACACAAGTAGCACCGTGGGGGAGCGTAACCCAACGAGGCCCCTCAGCACTGCCTCGGATTTCTCTCCCCCGATGGAGATTTTGGAACTGTTTGAGCTGTACCCTTTGGTGGGCCCCAGGCTCCCTTGATCCCTCGGGGTGGGGGCGGAAGGGAGCGACGGCCACCGCTGCTTCGGAGATGAGTGCCCTGCTGACCGTCGCCTCCTCTCGGGAGCCAGGCGGGCGCTGCAGCCTTCAGCCAGGACACAAGTGAAGATCCTGCTCAGGCTGTCCTTGACTCGTAGGTACGTACAGTTACAGCACATGGTGGCAGGCCAAATAGAGCTCACGGGCCTTAAAAGCCTCTCAGGCAGACTCTCAGCAAAGAACATCTACAGTCTCGGACCCCAATTCACTTCTGCATTATTGCATTGCTCTACAAAGAAATTTAACCTCCTGAAGTTGAAAATGGGAGTAAACTTTGCCTGGCACTCTCTTGCATAAGAAAGATCATGGAAGTTGAAGGCACAAGCCACTGACAGGTAGAGCAGAGTCCATGATCATTAGTTGTAGGCATTTCCTGAGTGATAGAAGCAATAGAGAGAGTACCTGAAGACAGAGAGTTCGGTGAGAGTTGATCATGCATTCCCACACCTGCCCGAACAGTTTTCTCTTTCTCAGTGATATTTTCAAGGGCAAGCACAGATTTATTTCAGCCCTGCGGAAACAGACCCAGAGCTCAGCCTGTCTGGGCTGAAATCAGAGTCTAACCACTCTCACACTAAGAGCTGATGAGCCAGATAACCCAAGTATCAGATTAAAAGACCACTAATCTTCACAGTTAGTAGAGAGCCCCAGGCACTCATCTGACTTTGGTTCAGGCCTGCTCCACCGGACACGGTGAGAAGGGTAAAGGGCACCAAGACTCGGGGAACCCCCAACACCCAAAGGTGACATTTCTTGTGTTTTCCTCACAAGGAGCAGTTTTCTGACGTTCTCCTGCACATGTGAGTGCAGCTCACACTAGGGCACCTTCATCCTGAAGGCTATCCTCACTCTGAGCCTCCGGAAAGATCAGTGTTTCCTCCTAGATTTCTAAGGAATCTTTCATCTAATGTGGTCTGATCTGCTTGACTGACAAGTCTTTCAGTTGAAGGTCGCTGTCTAGAGACAGTTCCTTTTCAGGAGGGTTTTAGAGCAGCGGGGTTCACTGAATAGCTGTTCTCTTTGCAGAGAGGATGAAGACCATGTACAAAGCTAACAAACTGACCACCATGTCACAAAGAATTTCTCATTCACAACTGAAAAGCCACCTTCAACCTTCTGGAGAATAATTCTGCATTATTTATATACCTGGGATTTACAGGTCAGCCCAGGAATTCAAGACTGACTCTTGGGGCTGGGAGAGGGGGTCTCCCTAGGTCCATTCTGGTAGATGTCAGACCTCCCACAGTCCTGATGACATTTTGCAAAACATCAGATCACCTCCCCTCTGGATCACTTGAACCTTCTTCAGAAGTCTCTGAGAAATACTGACATCTGACAGAGTTATCATTAAGGAAACATTATCATCAGTTATCATTAAGAGTTGTTCAGATACAGAGAGGAAGTGTGCTTTTTGTCTGTGTTTTCCAGGCTTCCCCCAGCTCATTCCCAGTCCCACAGTCTGCTTTAGGGGCTGTGAACATCTATCTCTCAGTAGCCTAGGAACAAACTAAGCCAGCCTCACCTAGACTCAGCCAGGTGGGTCCACTGAGTGATGCCCAAGCGGTGGTAACTTCTGCCCTCTTGAAGATGTCTAACGGAGGCTGTCATTATGTGTGATGTTACCTTTCCTGATGGATCTTCTAACAGGGATCCGTAGCCCCTTTAGGCCTAGCTCTTCATCCCCTTGCACAGGTACGATGTGCAAAAACGAGCAGAAATATGCAAGGATTCATGTGAGGGATACGGCCATTTTCCGTGCTGTCTCGTTTTTCAGTCTTTTCTTCCCAAAAGCCACTTATCCGGGACACCACTCAATCATCCCCACTTACAGGGCAGGATGGACTGATGTACCCTGCTCAACTCTGGGTAAAGTAGCTACTTGCAGATCTTTCTCCTTCTCACTCTGTAGCTTCTTGTTGTGGTTTGCATGCATAACCACCGGAAAAGAAAGCAGATAGAGAAGAGGCTCAACATCTTAATTTAAGAGGAGACAATTGATCTCAGTGCAACTGAACTCAGTGAGGGCGCCTTTTGGCTTGCTGAAACACAAGGTCCTAGGGAGCAAGATTTGAAATCGGGGGGGATTGGCAAGCACGAAAATGGTCGTCGCAACCTCAGCCGCTGCTAACAGGGGAACGGGACACGCCAACGGTTCTGACCCTTTCCCCTCTTCCAGTTTCTCCACGAAAGCGAAGCAACATGTCACCACACTGCATGGGCCCAGCCCTCTACTTGGCTGCTTAGACTTGATCCCACGGGGATTTCGGGATCTTTGTGGTTTCATTTGTCACCGTTTTGGAGCTGTTTCTAACACCTGGTTCTGGCAGGGCCTTGTGCACCGGGCACCAATTTGGAGGCTTTTGGCTGCTATTGAAATACACACAATGAATGACAATAAAAGTCTTAAACATCTACCTGAGATAAAGCGAAGATTTTGTTTAACTCAATGGAGAAAACTGAACGCAGTATTATATATTGTGAAAACTGAATGCATTAAACCCATGCTTATTTTGACAGAAGTCTAATGTGAATATGAAAACAATAATGCTGTTGCTTTTGTAACCTCTTTTGTACGTAAAATTGTTTGAACAAAAGGCATGTGCCTCCCTTTCCTAGCCTGTGCCACAGTAGTGCACAAGGGCATGCACACACACGCACGCAACCAGGCAGGAGCCTCCGTGGATTTCAACACAGCCCTCTTTTACTGTTGGGAATGTGACGCTCAGTTCCCATTTAATCTTGGGAAGTCTCAGCCCACACGGCATGAAGTCCATTCGACCAAGCGGTCTGATGTGTGTGTGTGTGTGTGTGTGTGTGTGTGTGTGTGTGTGTGTGTGTGTGTGTGTTTGTGTGTGTGTGCGCGTGTGAGGAAGGCAGAACCTTCCTGGAATTTGTAGGCTGCTTTTCCAGATCTGCTTCCGCACGCCCGAGAGCCCCGAGCGGAGTCTCACCCCACAGGCAGCGCGCGGAGGCCGCGGCCCTTTGCAGCCCATGAGCGGGGCCTCGACAGCGGCCTGAGGGCAGCGCAGTGGGGCACCCTCCCCATGGAAAAGAGAGCCCAGCTGGCTCCAGACCGCAGGATTTGGCCCCTTAGGGGCCTTTCTTCCCCATCCCCGAGCAAAGACACCAAATGCCAGCGAGGCGGCCGGGCTGCCTGTGGTGCAGCCGCCTGTCTGGAAAGGCCGAACGGGTAGTTGGGGACAACCTTGGTCCCGCCAGCCCGGGGGGTGCCGGTGCTGCCGGCGCCATTTCTGACGGGGAGACTCGCCGGAGCTGGGTCTCTCCTTCTTTTCTTGTTTCGTGCTGTTCCGAAATCTCAAGTGAAGAGAACGTTTCTATGCAATAAATTATTTCTCTGAGTTCAGCCACCTGGGTTTACTCTGTCCCTGCTGCAGTGCCAATCGCCCTGTTGAGAGGGAAGGCTGGAGCTGAAAACACGCATATGCACAGCTCCTTAAGGTTCCAGTTTGTTTAACCATAGCAAAAGAGGCTACTTCACATACAACTGCTGTGTCCACACTTACAAGTGCTGCAAGAGTCAAATCAAAAAGCAGCAATCCTTCCCAGCAAGGGGGGAAGGACCTGCTGGTGTTCAAATGATGGTGTTAATCACACACAGGGTCCTCACCTGCTGGAGGGGGAGGCTGGGAGGTTCCTCTTTGTTCTTCCCTTTTCTCCCCCTGTTTTTGTAGGGGCTTTTTGTCTTCTTCTTTCCTTTGCGTTTTCACCGCATATGAGATGTTTTACTTACAGTGAATGTATGTTCTTTGAAATCATGCTTTCATAAACAGCAATGGGCTCTGGGCAGATTTTGTGCACACCTTCAGCAGCCTCTACCACCATCCCACGCCGAGGCCGCTGTGCTCCGGGCCTTGCACCATGGAGCAGCCCCGCAGCATCTCCCCTCTCCACGCACCACGGCGGACACCAGCGCTTCCCACCACCCCTGCTTGCTCCAGAGGCAGCGCCAGCCCAGCTCTGCACTCTGCAGGGAATCAGAGCCAGCTCCTGCCAACACGTTGCCTTCTTCGCCCTCCAATCTGGCCCTGCACAACTCCTCTGCAAGGTGAGAACTGCTCATTCGGGGTGAATTCAAGCATTTCTGGTTGTATTGTCAAACATTTGTTGTTTCTTTTCATAAAATGCCCTCATACACGAGCACAAACACAGTGAAAAGCACAACGTTACAGTGCTGCGTGGCTTGTGAACGCAGCAGTGATGGGCTCCAGTGCAATGCTAGGGACTCACATTGCAGCAGACAAATATCCCAGAGAAGCGTCTGGTCACGTGTATTTAACACTGTGGCTTTTTTGCTTCTTCTTCTTCTTCTTTTGGCTAACTGCTTTACGGTTTCTTTATTGTGGCTGCAGATCCCCACAGGCCTTCTGGCCTGTTCTTCGCTGCCGGGCGGTTTGCTCGACCTCGGTGTGTTTGCTGCACTCGCTCCTGCAGTCACCTTCACCCTGGGGCTGCCGTCAGAGCTCCTGGCGAGTCTGCTGCATCGCA